GCGGGCACCGGGGGTGCGGGGGGGAGGGGGGGCTCCACCCCGAGGGCTCTGGGCCTGTGCTGCAAGCTCACCCGCGTCTCGCTTCTCCCTCAGAGGTAGCAGAGGAGCATTTGGAGAAGACGCCCCAGCACTGCTGGGACGGGGAGTCTCCAAACACACACCGTTCATGTCTGACACATCCGCAAGGAGGTGCTAGGACACCCGGCGCGATGGAGCAGGGTGAGAGCAAAGTCCCCCTCCTACAGCCTGGCAGCGGGACTCGTGGGGCGGTCAGCGTGGGGCCGGGAGCATTGGCAGGGGGTGTCGGGAGCTCCCACACCACCCTCTGAGAGGCCCCCTACTCTCTTCGGCAAGCGGGATCCGGCTGGGCAGTGGGCACCAACTGGGACACCCGTGCCTGCGATGCCCTTTCCTCCCCAAGGCTTCCAGCCCTGCCCAGCACTCAGCTAGGCATGGACACAGCAGCCCTTGGGGGCGATCCCACAGAGGTGCTCATTCTCCGTGGCATTTGCTCTCTCCCCTCCAGCATGCGTGCTGTGTCACCGCGCAGAGGCAGCCCCGGATATCTGCGGGCTAAAATGGAATTATGGATGGGGCTATGCCCATGGCTTTTGCCTGGTGAGTTCCTCTGGGGCTGGCTTTATCTTTGCAATGCACCTGCCCTGCCACATGCCCCTCATCTGCTCCTTGTCTCTGCTCTTCTGCAGCTTTTTGCCAAGGAAATTCATCTAGAAGTGAGTGAACAGGAAGAAGTCATGCAACATCTCCCTGTGTATTCAACGTACAGTCGAGCTGGCAGCCCAGCCAGCAGCTGCACAGCGGCTCCAGCACAGGAGCCTGCTCTGCCAGGCGGATCTGTGGCCTGTGACCCGGTATTGGGCACATCCCGCGCCCTGCCCCTGAGGTGTGGGTCCTGCTGTGGAGGCCCTGAGGCTGCCGCTGATGGGGGATGCTCTGCTCTTTCCAGGACTGCTTCGTGTGTGGTGAGAGCGGGGCCACCATCACCTGCCAGGCAACGGGCTGCGACCGCAGGTTCCATCTCCCCTGTGCCATGGAGGGTGAATGCATCAACCATTATATCCCACCGCTCAGGTACCTCCTCCCCCTCTTCGCCGTCACCAGAGAAGAACCCAGGGGCGCTCAACTCACCCATCTTTCCTTCTTCCTCTAGCTCCTATTGCTGGGAGCACCGCCCACGGCAGCAAGAGGAGGTGGCTCCAGGGGGCACCACCTGCCTCATCTGCCTGAACCCTGTCGAAGGCAGAACAACCTATGGAACCATGGTGTGCCCGGTGTGCAAACACGCCTGGTTCCACAGGGCCTGCGTCCAGGTAGGAGCCGTTCCCTCGCCCCAGGCACGGCAGCCTCTCAGCAGCACCAGAGCCTCACTCATGCTCCTTGTGTTTCTCCTTGCAGAAACAGGCTGTTTCCGCCGGCTTTTTTTGCTTACAGTGCCCTCTCTGTAGAAACAGGAATATATTTCTCCAGGAAATGCTCGTCATGGGGATCCAAATCCCCATCAGGTTGGTGTCATCCTGCCCGGCGCTGTGCCACGCCTGGACCTGCTGCATCTGCTGCATCTGCATCTGCTGCACCTGCCGTGCATCTGCTGTCTGCCGGGGCAGCAGGGGCTCATCAATTTTCCTTTCTCCATCAGACAAGCGTCATGGGAGGACAACAGTGCATATGCACCACTGTACCAGAGGCACAGCAGCTGCGATGCCAGGGAGTGCCTTTGTCCAGGAGGCAGGGAGGAGGCAGAGCCAGAGGGGTAAGGTGCCAAAGCTGCACCGCGGGGCTCGGGATGGGATCTCTGTCTCAGTAAGGGCTTGAAGCAGAAGGGCTGAGAACAAGAGCTCTACTGAACGATCCCATGCTCTGGGCGCTTTATCGTCAGAACCATGAACGTGGTTCTTTCCGCAGGCCCTGGCAGCTGCTCCTGTGCCAATCCTGCGCTGCTGAGGGCAGGCACAGACGCTGCTCCAACTTGGGGAACAGCAGGGAGAGATGGGAGTGTGACAGCTGTGCTGGCGTGGGCACCTGTAAGTGTGAAAGCACGTGGATGTGCCGGGGCTGGGGGCCCTGCAAGGCCCGGAAGTGGGTGGCTGTTGTGAGCTTGGCTCCAGGAAGGGCTGTGGCACGGCTCTGGCCTATCCTGCCCCAGGACTGGGAGCCGTACCCTTGACCTTCCTTCTTCCCCTTGCAGCCTCCAGAGTGAGCTCAGAGCTTGCTGGTCCCAGCAGCAGCACCCCAGCAGCATCTGGGCAGACTCTGGGACCTCCAGCACAGGAGACCATCAGCCTGAGCACTAGCAGACAGTTGGATTCGGGGGCATTCCACGGCTTCCCACTGCCTGAGCACAGCAGCCGCTGCAGCCCCCCTGGGCCTCATCGACGACGGAACCGAACCCGGTGTTACCGTCAGACCCAGACTCCCTATACACGACCAACAAGAGAGCGAGAGAGAAGCCAAGCTGCGAGAGGCACCCACAGCCAGGCGGTGCCAGGGCTGTCCCAGTGCCCCCCAGCATGTGAGACCCGCAGCCGCAGCACCAGAAGACAGCGGCCATCAGCATCATCCCGAGGCTCCAGAGCAAGCCAAAGAGGCAGCACCTCAAGATGCACGGGGCCTGTGCAGGTGCGAGACCACTCCCGCTTGCAATGTCGGGCCCAAATTCCCACCATGCGGCGAAAAAGATTCCGTGAGCGCAGCCACACACCAGCACCACGTGCGAAAAGGTGGGCATCCGGACAGGCTGTGTCAGGGCTTTCCCAGCGCTCCCCAGCAATTGCGACCAGCAGTGACAGCCAGGAGTCATCGCTGTCCTCCTGTAGCTCCCAGCAGTCAGGGAGCAGCAGCCCCAGCATTGACAGGCAGGAGTCATCGCTGTCCTCCTCTGGCTACCAAGCATCAGACAGCAGCAGCCCCAGCAGTGACAGGCAGGAGTCATGGCTGTCCTCCTCTGGCTACCAAGCATCGGAGAGCAGCAGCCCCAGCAGTGACAGCCAGCAGTCATCGCTGTCCTCCTCTGGCTACCAAGCATCGGAGAGCAGCAGCCCCAGCAGTGACAGGCAGGAGTCATCGCTGTCCTCCTCTGGCTACCAAGCATCGGAGAGCAGCAGCCCCAGCAGTGACAGCCAGCAGTCATCGCTGTCCTCCTCTGGCTACCAAGCATTGGAGAGCAGCAGCCCCAGCAGTGACAGCCAGCAGTCATCGCTGTCCTCCTATGGCTCCCAAGAATCAGAGAGCAGCAGCCCCAGCAGTGACAGCCAGCAGTCATCGCTGTCCTCCTATGGCTCCCAAGAATCAGAGAGCAGCAGCCCCAGCAGTGACAGCCAGCAGTCATCGCTGTCCTCCTATGGCTCCCAAGAATCAGAGAGCAGCAGCCCCAGCAGTGACAGCCAGGAGGCATCGCTGTCCTCCTATGGCTCCCAAGAAACAGAGAGCAGCACTGGTGCTGGGTCTGCTGGACTCCACTTCCAGAGATCCAGGAGACTGCCATGATGCTGCTGGGCTGACAGTGCTGGGACCGGTAAGCTTTAATCTGGCACTGGAGGCTGCAAGGGGAAGCAGGAAGGTTAAGGGCTTGGCTCCCAGGCCTGGGGCAGCGTAGGCCTGAGCGGTGCCCCAGCCCTCCTGGAGCAGACAGACTCTGCCAAGCCCACACCAGGCACCCACTGCCAGGCCTTGCCTGGCCCCTGGCCCCAGCCCAGGAGCACCCAGGTGCTTTGACACTTACAGGTGCCCAGGCCAGCACAGCTGTCACACTCCCATCTGGCCTCAGGGCTGTTCCCCAAGTTGGAGCAGCATCTGTGTGTGCCCTCAGCAGCACAGGAGCAGCACAGGAACAGCTGCCAGGGCCTGGGGAAAGAAATGGGTTCATGTCTCTGAGGATGGAGCGCCCACAGCACGGGATTGCCCAGCAGAGCTCTTCTCTTCATCCCTTCTGCTTCAAGCCCTTGCTGAGACAGAGATCCCGTGCGGAGCCCCGCGGTGCAGCTTACACCCTATTTCCAACTCCTCCATGGAGCTAAAGCCCAGACTGAGGGCACAGCAGAGGGCCAGTGTTGGCCAGGAGGACACTAACCTTAAGGGGATTTGGATCCCCATGTTTATCATTTCCAGAAGAAACTCATACCGATTTCTACAGAGAGGGCACTGTAAGCACAGAATTCCAGAATGCATAGCCTGTTCCTGCAGGAGAAACATAAAGAGCGCGAGTGAGGCTCTGCGACTGCTGAGAGCCTGCCATGCCCAGAGCAAGAGAACAGCTCCTACCCGGATGCAGGCCCTGTGGAAAGATGAGGCAGACGGTGCCCTCTGGAGCCACCAGATCTTGCTGCTGTGGGCGGTGCTCCTGGCAGAAGGACCTGGGGGAAGAGGGAAGGGATGGGTGAGATGAGAAGCGCTGGGTCATTCCCTGGTGACGGTGAGGAGGGGAGAGGAGGTACCTGAACGGCGGGAGATAAAGGGTGACACATTCACCCTCCACGGCACAGGGGAGATGGAACCTGCGGTCGCAGCCCACCTCCTGGCAGGTGATGGTGGCCCCCCTCTCGCCACACACGAAGCAATCCTGGAAAGAGCAGAGCAGCCCCCATCAGCGGCAGCCTCAGGGCCTCCACAGCCAGACCGACACCTCGGGGCAGGGCGCAGAACGTGGCCACTGCTGGGTCGCAGACCGCAAATCCACCTGGCAGAGCGGGCTCCTGTGCTGGAGCCTCTGTGGAGCTGCTGGGAGCAAGACTTCTGTCCCAAAGCTGGGTGGAAGGGCTGGGATTCTGTCCCTGTCGTCTGAGCTAAGCTCCCACAAACCTCTCCTGGCACAAATCACCCAGATCGTCTCAGATCCTCACCATCTGGGCTGCCTGCTCGACTGTACGTTGAATATCCGTACGGGAAAATCTCATCTCTCCTTCCTGTTCAGTGTCTTCTCGATGAAGCTCACTGGCCAAATGCTGCAGAAGAGACAAGGAGCTGATGAGGGGCATGTGTCAGGGCTGGTGTGTTGCAAAGATGAAGCCAGCCCCAGAGGAACTCACCAGGCAAAACAGATGGGCACAGAAACCTTGAGTAACCAGTTTTGGCCCTATCTGGCTGCTGGGCAGGGCTGCAAGCCTTGGAGAGGAAAGGGCACTGCAGGCATGGGTGTCCCGGAGGGTGTGCACTGCCCAGCCCTGGTCCTGCTTGCCAAGGAGAGGAGGGGCCCTCCCCCAGGGTGGCTTTGGAGCTCCTGCCTCCCCCTGCCGATGCTCCCGGTCCCACCCTGACAGGCTCAGGAGTCCCTCTGCCAGGCTGTAGGAGGGGGACTTTGC